CGTGACGAGTGCCAGAGCGCATGGAAATACCATTTACCTTCCCACCGCAGCGGTACCTATATATCTACGTGCACTAGTGTGCTTTCGAACTGCTAGGTTGGCAGGAGCTGGGACAGAGCAACGGGAGCTCATCCCGTCATGGGGATTCAAACCGCCGACCTTCTGATTGGCAAGCCCAAGAGGCTCAGTGGTTTAGACCACAGTGCCACCCACATCTCTTATGTATGTATTATGTATGCATGTATCAGCCCCAGCAAGCATGGCCAATGGCCAGAGTTGATAGAAATTGTAGTTGAAGCAACATCTGGAAGGCCAACGGTTCTCCTTACCTGCTCTAGCACCTAGAAGCATAGAGTTAGAAGGAACTTGAAAGGTCATCTTCTAAGAAGTGGCTCACCAGGTGGGACAGAGCCACTTTGCTAGTTTCCTGGCAAGTGAGTTGCTGTTGCTTACTAGGACGGAAAGGGGATGGGGTGAGATGGTAGGCAGGCCAGTAGAGTGCAAATGCACTGGTAGGAAAACCAAATTGGCTCCACCATGTGTTTACACTGCACCAACCTCCACACCACACCACCCACCTGCTGGGAAGCTAGCATAGCAGTTCCACCCTGCCTGGTGAGCCGCTTGTGTGTCTAGTTAAAGGAAAATTATAGAGAAGTCCTGTGTAATGTGTAGTTTGGCCCTAGTAAAGATATGATCATAAGTGTAAATCAGATTGTTTTTCAGCATGGATTGGGTGGCTGAACAGGGAAATGACCCTATTCCAGGACTAATCCAAACATTTGTTGGAAAAGGGTTGCCAATGTTTATTTTCAGTGTAGATATTTAAATGTTAACATTCAAGTATGAAATTCTAATCATGATTTTTGAATTTGGCAGGGGTGTGTGTGTGTGGAAATGGCATATTTTGGAGTGGTTTTCCGTAGAATCATAGAATTGGTAGATTTGGAAGGGACCACAAGGATTTAGATGATTATGTGAAAATGCCAATAGTGAACTATTGCATAAAGTTTTTGAAAGTGTCTTTCTGAGCATCTAATTTGAGAAACGTGAATTTTTGTGGCAGTTGGGTACCCTGGGCTAATCACATGTTAATTCAAGCTCTCTGGCAATGGAGAGAAGCAGTTGTTTGTGTTCTGAAAGCAAGCGGTGTTTCTGTGTTATTTCCCATCTGATTCTCCCTCCCAACAGACATCTGAAGGCTAATCCTCTGGTATTTGTGTGCTTAGAGTTTAATTCACAGCCCTAACCCTTCAACACAATGCCTGTGCTTTTGCGGGGTAGGAGGAGTAGGAGGAAAAGCACATTTGAACAAATGTCCTTGAGGAGCAGAACAACAGAAAGGGACATCATAATAGCTCGGAGCTTATTTATGCAGATGGGATCCAAGGTAACATATCCATGGCTCTATTGAAAGCCAACATGTGACAGTAGCATATAGCTCTCTGAGATCAGCCAGCACGATAATAAAAAAAAGGCTTGACTTTTCCTCTATCCTGAGGTTATAACAGGAAGCATCTTCCTTCGAGCGCTTGAATTGACTGTGCCTTACTGTAGTTTTGAAAAGGACTGTGATGAGTCCACTCCTATACAGCGACCCTACCTCCTGCTGACATTTTGGGATCCATGAAGCACTGATCTCAAATGGTGTAATAAAAATTGAAACCCACATGGTCAGTAGGAAAGCAGATACTGGATTTTTCTCTAGTAGGCTCATAGGGCTAATAACTGGATAGCAGGGCTTTGAAAAACTTCTGATTAGGAACACAGGAGCATAGGAAACTGTCTTATACAGAGATTGGGTATTGGGGAAGTACACTTTGGTGAGAGAACTCTAGCAGAGATTCAAAATCACAAAATATCCAGCAAAGTATGGAATATAGGCTGTTAGACTTTTAAAACATATCCTTTTGAGTTCCTTCCAAAACTTCCCTCTTCCCTTAGCACAGAAAAAAGACCATACGTTTGGTAAGTTAAGAAATGGTTTACTGACAAACTCTCCAAAGGTCAGGTTTATGTGCTTTTCTATACAGCATTCAGAAAACACAGGCAGCAAAACCTGGCTCAGTTAAAGTGGTGAAAATTCCTAAATTATTGGTATAGCAACGCAATAAAGGCTTGCTAGAGCCATGTGGCCTGAGTTTGGAGCAACCAGCTTAGCCCTCACAAGTTAAGCTTCGCTAGTGGACTGAAAAATAGGCTTGATGACCCTCCTCCCAAGGTGCGGGTATGTGTGAGACCTAGCTAAGCCTGATAGAACAGCTTATTCTATGGCATTAACTAGAATAATTATACTGAAGCATGCTGGTTAAATGAGGCTGGTTATCCCACTTAGTCTACATTGTTCAGTATTGTCTACACTGACTGCCAGAGACCCTGTAGGGTTTCAGCCAGCATGATCTTGATAGCTAGGGGGTTATTGGGAACTGTAGTGAAAAAGATCTAGAGGGTACTGGGGGTGGGGGAGAGAGAGACTGGTCTATTGGAATAAATATACTGGGTAACTTTGAACATCTCTTTTGCCGAAGATTTATGGAACTGAACTGGATGTTGACCGGAAAAGAAGAGTGTCAGTTGATATTTTATTCCTTAATTGAACTGGAAATATTTTTGTGCTTTGCTTCTTTGTTGGCTCCTTGCTTTATTCAGAAAACGTAATAATAATGCATGTTTGTGTGTGTTTTAAAAGAAGCATTGCTGCATAGCTTATCTTGAGACAGACTATGGATATTGAAATCATTTTTTAAAAAAACCTTTTTTCAGCCTTGTATCACAAGTGAAGTTATAACACGATAGAGCATATGCAGAGTGCCTTTTCTTTTTTTGCAACAATATTTTATTAAGACCTTTCATAATACATTACCATAAAAAACAAGCTAATCTTTTTTAAAAAAGAAGAGGAAAAGAAGGATACAAAATCTTCTTTCACAGGTAGATCTAAACTTGCAGAGTGTCTTTTCTGTACTAAGTAATTAATGCTCCCCCAGCACAACAGAATTAGGCATAAGAGTTTTTAAGGTAGAGGGTGCACCTTCAAGGCAGAATCAACATTAAGCAGAGTCTCCTTCTCTGTCTCTCTCTCTCTCTCTCTCTCTCTCTCTCTCTCTCTCTCTCTCACACACACACACACACATTTATCTATTGCATGATAATAAGAAACTTATGCATACATGTGTTATCTACATGATCATAGCAGCTACTGAATGAAAGTGATATTCTCGTTCTGAGCACAAACAATAATAAATGATTCTATTTCCTGCTGTTTGCCTGAGTTCGTCTTTCTTGTTTACTTTTACACCCTGTGCTGGTTTTTGATTAATCCACATTCCTTTTATATCATCAGTATACCTCCATTATGTATTTTTCATTTGTCTTTATCCATATCCTCCCCATACCTCTTTGTTTCTTGCATTTGAAAAGCAGAAAACATTCAGACTGAGGTGTTTTATTTTATGCAGCTACAATTGCCCTAATAAATGTCTTTGCTGCCTCTTTTGTGTTACGGAAACAAGCCCATTTTGGAATTAACTTGTTTGGAACTATCCAGCAGAACCATCTGCACACCCCAGTCTCTATCCCAAAGAGCTTTATAACCAAACTAATTGACATCAAAGATTGACTCAAGTTATATTTTGAATTCTTAGCCTTACTGACCAGATGCGTTCTGGTAGCAATATTCAGATGCCTAAAATTTCCAGAGTCTAAAGGAATGGTCAGAGGACAGCCACGAGTTAGATGCTTGGACCTCCCAGACAGGTGAAATTGCACCGCAAGGAAAAGCATTGCATTGGTTTTATAAACAGGAAAATATTACTGCTTGAAATAAATCAAAAGGCAAACAGGTTTTTAGCACTCCTAGCATGAACTTCACCTTGTGATCAGGGCAGTTTCCAATTCTGAGGTGGCCCTGGACCAAGTTCTTCTGCTGGAACTCCTGTTTTGCTGGCGAGATTACTGGTGTTAGGTAGTGGTTGGAAAAAGTGAGCAACAGCAGTGGCAGGTAGCAGTGCTTTGAGCAGCACTGGCCTGTTGGTTGTTCCAGCCATTTTAACTTCCCACAATACCCTGGAGTGGCACTATGTCAGAGGCATCATGGGACAACTAAATGGTGGCTAAATCTCCCATTTGGACTACTGCAATGAGCTCTACGTGGGGCTACCTTTGAAGGTGACTCGGAAACTACAACTAATCCAGAAAGCGGCAGCTAGACTAGTGACTGTGGGTGGGCACCAGGGCCATATAACACTGGTCCTAAAGGATCTACACTGGTTCCCAGTATGTTTCCGAGCACAATTCAAAGTGTTGGTGCTGACCTTGAAAGCCCTAAATGGCCTTGGCCCAGTATACCTGAAGGAGCATCTTCACCCCATCATTCAGCCCGGACACTGAGGTCTAGCTCCGAGGGCCTTCTGGTGGTTCCCTCACCGTGAGAAGTGAAGTTACAGGGAACCAGGCAGAGGGACTTTTCGGCAGTGGTGCCCTCCCTGTGGTACACCTCCCATCAGATGTCAAGGAGATAAAGAATTGCACAACTTTTAGAAGACATCTGAAGGCAGCCCTGTATTGGGAAGTTTTTAATATTTGATGTCATATTATGTTTTTACATGGGACGCGGGTGGCGCTGTGGGTTAAACCACAGAGCCTAGGACTTGCCGATCAGAAGGTCGGTGGTTCGAATCCCTGCGATGGGGTGAGCTCCCGTTGCTCAGTCCCTGCTCCTGCCAACCTAGCAGTTCTAAAGCATGTCAAAGTGCAAGTAGATAAATAGGTAACTGCAGGTCCGATGCGGTCGACAGGGACAGCTACCGAACAGCATCGAGATGACTAGGGGGGTGAGACAGGGTTGTATTTTGGCCCCCACATTGTTTTGTCTAACCTTAAATGACCTAGAAGAGAACTTAATGGACCCAGATGGACACATTCCAAAAATAGGAATGAGAAGGACCCCTTTGTTGTTGTATGCTGATGACGCGGCCATCATCTCGTGTTCCAGACCGGGCTTGAATTATCTGTTGAGGAAATTTTCTGATTACTGTTCTGGAAATGGTTTATCCATTAATTATGAAAAATCTAAAATTTTAGTCTTCGAAAGAAGATTCTCCCAGTCTAAATGGGTGCTGGATGGCCATAACCTTGAACAGGTAAAATACTTCAGTTACCTAGGGCTCACATTCCATCATACAGGATCTTGGAAGCACCATTGGCAAACCTCCCTTCAAAAGGCGGAGATTACAAAGCTAGCCATACATAGATTCTTCTTCACAAAGGGTGGCAAATATGTTCCAGCAGCCTTAAGGGTTTTCAACGCAAAGCCCGTTTCCCAACTCCTGTATGCAGCAAATGTCTGGCATAATGGGGACCTGCCAAAGCTAGATGGCTTTCAGGCAAAATTTATACAATCTCTGCTGCAGGTACCTAACTGCGTCCCTAACTCCGTACTTCTGTTGGAAGCTGGTGAATGCCCAATTTCAGCTAGAGCATGGTGGGCTGCCCTAAAACATTGGCTCAGGATTTCAGTGTTTAATCTAGGGAAGGGTCTGTACCAACATTTGACCAATGAGGAATTTGTCAGCAAATGGCAGAAAACCATGGCTAAAAAAGCCACCTCTATTGGTCTGTCTCCCCCCCCCCCAACTGCATTACCTGGGCTATGAAGGCGCCCAAAAGGTTTTAAAGCAAAGATTATGGGACAATGCACACAGTGACTTGCGATCTCGGTCACACGCAGTCTGTAGTCCGCTGGCAGCAGGAGTTCAATATGGGTATGTCTTTGAGTTAACATCTTACATCAAAAACCTAACTGTATTACCTAACTATCGAAGGCTTTTCACCAAAGCCAGACTGAATGTCTTCCCCTCTGCAGTGCTGGATGGTAGGTTGAGAGGAGTTCCCTACCAGGACAGACTTTGCTCGTGTGCTCAAGACATCGATTCCATAGATCATATTTTGTTACATTGTACGAAGTATGAGCAGGCCAGGGCTGAACTGATACTACCCTTGCTGGTGCCTTTCCCAGGAAAGTCAGAGGCTCACTATGTCAGGTTCCTACTGGAAGACCGGACAAAAGCTAGAACGTTGGCAGTGGCAAAGTTTTTATCGGTGGTTGCAAGAACAAACAAGCCCTATATTCCAAACAAAGTGCTTGATTAACCTGGAGGTAGACTGTATGAACTCTGTATTAATTTGTAATGTTTTGTTGGGTCTCTGGACCGTAATAAAGATTGATGATGATGATGATAAATAGGTACCGCTCCGGCGGGAAGGTAAACGGTGTTTCCGTGCACTGCTCTGGTTCACCAGAAGTGGCTTAGTCATGCTGGCCACATGACCCAGAAGCTGTATGCCGGCTCCCTCGGCCAATAAAGTGAGATGAGCGCCACAACCCCAGAGTCGGTCACGACTGGACCTAATGGTCAGGGGTCCCTTTACCCTTTACCTTTAAGTTTTTATATGTGTTGGAAGCTGCCCAGAGTTGCTAGGGCAACCCAGCCAGATGGGTGAGGTATAAATAATAGAATTATTATTTTTATCCAACTCCCAGCTTCCCTGACAATTGGCCATGCTAACAGGGGCTGAGAGGAGATGTAGTCCAGAAACATCTGGCGGGCCGCAGGTCTCCCACCCTTGAGATAGATGCTCTGATGTCTTTTAGAGCATCAGAGCAAACAAAAATAAACATAAGGAGCAGGGAGCTGAAGGGTTGATGTCTGTGCTAGCTATCCAAAGTTGCTAGGTGCTGATGCTGGTCAGGCTTGAGATTAAAATGTGCACCATTTTGACCAGGTACTTAGAATGTAAACAGTTCTAGCAACATGGAAACAAGGACTGGGCAGAAAGGCCCTGTTCATGGGTTCAGAAATGCCTGATGATCAGGATTGCTCCCATTTTCTCAGCAAGTTTGCCAAAGTCATCAGCTTCCTCTTGCTTAATGCTCTTGATATAAAAGGAGCAACTGTGCTTTGTAAGCACATGACCTCAGTTTTATTAATCCCATGGCACCTCTCTTGTTTGTTTGCTTATTTATTGACTGCTTTTTGGTTGCAGAGCCCTCCAAGTGGTTTATAATAACATCATGAGGCAATTAAAATTCAGCGTAGACATCCAAAATGCAGTTAAATTATCTTACAAGGTAGCAAGGCGGGGGGGGGGGGTCCTTGCCTGAGGCTTCGGGAAGCATCTGCCAGTCAGAATAGGCTCTATTTGGGAAGATGAATTGATGGGCTGATTCCTTTATCCCATGTCCTAACTGGTTCTATATATTACGAAGTTTCAAAGCACAGACTTTTGTTTGGTTTTCGTACGACACGTATTCATAAAAGGCATCAGGTCAGGAGTATCAAGGAAGCTGAGCAGTAGAAAAAATATACAAATAAGTCTTGAGATTAATTTACATTGTATATGGAGATCCATTTGCATTCGTCTCACAACTCCCCTTTTCACTGGCTCCCAGAATGTACACCTGTGGCTTGTTAGCATGCAGTGCTGCCATGATGTGCAAATGAAAGCCGCCATATCCTGGCAATGCGCAGGAAACATTCTCCCCAGGGTTCGTGTTTCTCTTTTACATGCAAAGCCCCATTGAAATGAATGGCCTTATTATTATAATTGGATGTATGCCTGTTAGGGCATCTCATTCCATATTAGAGGAGAGAACCTTTCCTTTAGTCTCGGGAAATTTGGAATGAAACAAAACACAAGCCATGCATAACATTTCTGTCTCCTTTACCAAGGGAGAACATGGAACGATAGGCAGGAAAATAAAATTACCTTTTATAATGTGTTTCCATTTCCTCCCAATTTATCTTCCCTCCCCCCTCCCCCTCCCTGGTGCTTGTGTATGGCCTCTTTTTTTCACAAGACCCGAGTGCTTTGTGCTAAGTAATGATTTTTTCTCCCCACTATGCCTGACTGAGACAGGGAAGCACTGTTTATCCTTACAGAAAACACACGAAGGAATTGAGGCATAGGAGAAGATCAATGGCTGAAGCCTCCAAAAACCATGACCAATGTTCGGTCCAAGCTGAAGGCTATTAACAGCTACTACTGATACTGTCAGAGATAGCAGGCCTCTGGTTATTAGTTGCTGGGAATCCAAGCAGGGACCGTGCTCTTGTGCACAGTGCCTGCTTGTAGCCTTCTCCAAGACAACTGATTGGTGAAAACAAGATGTTGGAGACACAAGAGAAGTGCATAAAATCATGCATGGCGTAGAGAAAGTGGAACTAGAATTTGTGGACATCCAATATTGGCAGAATCAAGGCAGACAAAAAGAAAGTACTTCATTGAATGATGAAATTTGCTCCCCCAAGAGGCAATGATGGCTGCCATCTTGGATGGCTTTAAAAGACCTTTAGACAAATTTGTGGAGGAGAAGGCCATTAGTGACTACTAACCATAACAGCTATTTTATGCCTCCATAATTGGGGAGGTATGCTCCTGAATGTCAGTTGCTGGAAACTGCAAGGAGTGGAGAGTGCTGTTGTGAACAGGTCTTTCTTGCTTGCATCTCATAGGCATCTGGTTGGTCATTGAGAGGACAGGATGCTGGATTAGATGAGCCATTGGTCTGATCCAGCTGGCTCTTGTAATGTTCTGAAACAGCCACGCCCAATCCACCCCCATTCAATGGTGGCCAGAAAGGGTAGCCATTTTGGTTTGGGGTGCCATTTCTGGCAGAGGCAGTGACTTTTCAACTGGAAGAGACAGAGGGGGCTGGGGAGGACAGAGATACCAGTCTCCTGTGCCACTCTGTATTACTATTATTATTATTATTATTATTATTATTACATTCTTTCAATTTGTATGCTGCCCTTCATCTGAAGATCCCATTGCAGTTTACAACATAAGAACACAAAACGAAAACACAAAATACGAAGCAAAAAACAGAAACAAACCAATAGCCCGTCTCCCACAAACACATCTTAAAGGCCATAAATTGTTTAACCTGCCAAAGGACTGGTTATACAGAAACATTTTCACCTGATGCCTAAAGGGCAGTACATGCTGATGACACAGTGATACTATTACACTGAGAAGTCTTGCAACTTGTGCCTAGGATCTAGATAACCATTGATGCACGGAATGGCAGTTGTTCCTTTCCTGTTTTTTTGGTGCCATTGCCAGGATCACGACCCTTATTGGCTGAAATCCTGGGGAGCTTCTGCCTCTCAATGCAGCAATACTGAGGAAGTGAGAGCAGCGGTCTGATTCCATCTGAGGCAGCTTCCAATTGTTCTATCGTTGCTGAAATGAATGAATTAAAAAAACACCCCTAATTTAGGAACAGCTGCTATTTTGTCCTCCCAGACAAAATTACTACTGCATCCAAATGCTAGGCTACTCTTGTCATTACAAGATTTCCCTTTTTATAGCCAGGATCCTTGTTGCTTCATAAACTTTCACTCCTTATTAGATATACTCATTTTTCCTTGGCTCTTTATCTGTAGTGGATTATAGAGGAGTCAATTAGTAAAGCTTGATGAAGATGGGATTTATGTATGGAGATCAGATAACATTATAGGGAAGTTTTTAATGTTTGATGTTTTACTATGGTTTTATAATTTGTTGGGGCAACCCAGTCAGATGGACAGCATAATAATAATAATAATAATAATAATAATAATAATAATAATTTCTGTATTTATTTACAAGAGTGGATTTTGGGTGAGCTTCCTGCTGGCAGTAGGGGCTATAACAGCTTGTTTTGGATCCGTGCAATCTCTTGTGTCAAAACCTTCAGCAGCATTCCAAGAATTTTGATTGCTGTGAGTTGCCCTTTGGAGGACATTTTAGAGTAGCAAACTTGTCAGTGACTATTTGCTTTCAATTTGGCTCTACATTATTTATAACCCTTTCCCTTTTTTTGTTATCAGGAAATGTTCAAGCGCTCAGAGTATATTAGGGCAAATACACATGAAAGAAACGCACTACACTGCTTATGGTTGATACAATAAATACTAAAGGTTCCCTCTGGAGCCCTTGGTGTTGCACATTGTGCCAGGCTGAACCTTGGCTTACCTCATTGATTTTACCGGCAGGGAATGGGGAGTTGCCTTGTCTGCAAGAGAGCCAGAGTGTCACTTGCCTGAAAGCTGGCAAGTGATTCCTAGCATGGAAGTGCTACCATCTTTATTTTGTGCAGGGGATCTAATAAAGTGTGATGACCTGGGACTCGGGTTTGGACTTGGAACCAGAGGAGACTCAGTCTGCACCGGATCCTTTGCCTCAGGCATCTTCTGAACCTAGTCTGGGGGCCTGATTCTGAAGAGTCCCAGTCTGCACAGGTTCTCCTGCAACAAACCCCAGCTGGGCCGAGTCAGGGGCCTGAGCCTGCCCTGGCTCCAGATGCAGGGATTACCTCGTTGCCTTCAGCTGGGCCATCACTTACAGCTGCTCCACTACCGGTTTGGTCAGGGGAGGCTGAGGCGGCCCTTGGGTCTAGTAATCCACCGACGTCTCCTGAGCTGCAGAGACTAAGGTCTGAGAGAAGGAGAGACCTGAGTACTCGCAGGAGGAATGCTTGCCTTCGGGCGAAACAGGGAGGTGAGTCGCCGGGGGATCAGGACCGGCTGCTACCCTGACAAAGATAAAAGGCTGTCAGACCCTGCCCCAGGTTGCAGGAGCAACATTGCTGCATGCTAGATCCCGCACCTGTCCTTGCCTGGTTTCCTGCTTCATGTCCTGCCTCAGCCCTGTCAGACTGACTCCCAGCGGAACCTTCGGATTCTGGACCAGTCCTGGGCCGCATTTCATGGGTTACCTCTGGGCCCAGCACAGTAGGTATGAGAGTAATCTGGGTTACTTCCTGCCAA